ACTGCTGGATATGGGCACCAGCGACCCACGCAACCCTGAAAAGGAATAAGCGTGTACAGAAAATGGATGGATGGATGGATGAATCCAATATAAAACATGGAATCTCACAGGAATTGCTCATTTGGGTAAGTTTCTGTTGTATTTAGGACAGTACAATGTATTTTGGATGCTGCTGTTTTCTGCACCTGCCAATAGCTGTTTTATTTATTTAATCACTCACTCACTTTCAAGGCAACGTTTTTATCTTTATGTTTAATTTGAGCAGAAAATTAAACGTACTAGGGGGCTAAATAAATAATTTTYATTTAATAATCAGTTGTAGTACATTATAGTTTTGGAGAATCATCATTACGTTTGACTGAGGKGGTACTAGTGGTATGACAAAATATCTCAGGGGGGTACACAMGTCTAAAAAGGGTGGGAACCACTGATTCCCCCATGCGCTCKCCACACACAGGCGCGCGCACATACGTACCCCCCATCACATCCCGCCGGGCTCGCTCCCGCGCTGCTCTCAGCCAATCAGAGCGCGATGCGCCGCAGTTTATAAGCCATCTGCCGTGGAACCGTGGAGCCGTCCCTCCGTCCTCTGAGTCACTCCACCCGACCTGCAGCTCTCATCACACCGCAACCGTGAAGATGGCGACCCGGGTAAGACATCCGCGCTTCATTTTCTCCTCTGAGACACGAGCGGCCCYCTTGTTTGGTTTGTTTTTAATCCTCATTCAGATGAATGTGGGCAGATTGAACMGCGGCGCAAAATGTCGGTGGAGCTTTTAATCCGCCGTTAAACAGCCAGCAGCCTGGTTCGCTCTGAATGTCACCGCGCTGAACAGGGTGTTTGTTTTACGTCACTCGCGATCCCAGCCCTGTTTACACCTGAGCGTGTGTGTGTGTGTATGTGTGTATGTGTGTGTGTGCAGGGGGACATTTGGGCCAGGTCTGCATGGGCCGCCTCAGCCTGCTGACAGCTGCTTGTCCTTGAGCCGCCGTGGCTCCATGCAGCGCCTCGATCCCGGRGGCTTTTGGTTTTAAAGCAAACAGGATGTGGAACATGTCGGGTGGGTTAGRTGTGTTCCTGTAGCAGCCTCCTGTCTGCAGTGGTCTGCTGCTCGCTGTCTGCTGTGTGGAGCAGATCGGCTGATSGTGGATTAGGTGCGTGTGGAGGGTTTTTGTACAACCTGTCCTCCCCAAACAAGAGCAAAAAAATTAAACCTGAGCTACAAGCCGACTGTCCCTTTAGTCACGAACCACCCACCTCCCTGTACCCCACCCTGCACCCAGATCATACATTTTACAAAAAGGAGCCCCCCTTCTRTATCCCCAAAATAATCTGCTTTGAAGTGTGAAAGGCGGTATTCTAACATAAAMCTAGGAGTGTTGTAATCCAAATAAAATATGAGTATGATCTTGTCCTAAACTTAACCAAATAAATTTTGACTATATGATCTTTTCCTAATCCTACCAAGTACCTTCTGATTATGATGTCTTAATCCCAGTTTGGTCCTWATCCTATCCGACCCATGACTGTGATCTTTTTCTTTCTAAATCCAAGTTATTTTGATTTTTCCCTTAATTAAATAGTTCAAATACTTGAACCCAAYCAGAAAAGCTGGGCTCAAATAATCTCAAACGTTAGAACTTGGGGTTTGGGATTATCCACCCTAAACCTTGTCTCTATACAAGTCAGAAAACCAGCAGGATTTCTTTATTGTTGTGCTCAGAAATGATCATATAAGATGCATTCAAACAGGGAGTGTTATGTTTCCTATTAGAGGCAGGTCGGTGTTATATGAATGCCTTGTTTAGTGAGTTAAAAACTGACAGGAGTGAAAATTTTTTTTATTTTTTAATGCCACTGTCACTTTTTCACGTGCAAATTTGCCATGTTGCATTTTGAGGTCATAGAGGYGGTGTTCCTGATAATTGTTTYGATTTGGAACTTGGAAATTRAATCACAAAATGAAAGACAAAGATRTAAGTATTTCATTACTTTAGTGCGGTGTTGTTGTGTTTATTTGTCCCCAAAGTAAGCAAGTCATGTTTAATAGTCACTAATTCAAATTKCTGGCTAAAATGCCAAAATTTGACTTCACTGTCCCCTTCAAACTGTTGTGATGTAAAAACAAAACTGAAGTAATAAATATGAACTTTAGTGTCTGATRTGTTTAAGACCTCTTACTGCCTGTTGAGGCTGGCAGGTTGTTCCATGCATGCAGATGGAACTAGGGATGGGTGGGATATGACCAACCCCAGATTYATAGTGATCCCCCCACCAAGTCCTACATAGGTCAAGAAAAATCCAATTAAAACTGATGATTAAGGTTCCATTAGTTAGACTAATTTATGCATCTACTGAGACTCCAACATGTGTCCTATGACTAATGATGCGTTTATGAATGTTGAAATTTCCAAGACCCAAGTTAGAATTGAATCTCCAGCTTGGAAAGTCAGAACAAACTACCAGCCTAATTTAAATTCATGCTACCTGCTACTCACGTAAACAGTAGTTACATGTTGTTTTTTTTTTTTTTTTTTTTTTTTTTTTTTTTTTTTGGGTGGGGGGGTGGTTTTTTTAAAACTTGGGAAACACTCAGCTTTGGGGTTATGTTGTTCAGAGCTCARMGTTCCAAMTTTCCTTRTAAATGAACACACCACTCCCCAGSGTCCTGTACAGGAACTTGTTGCTGTGTCGGTGATGGCGCAGCAAGCCGGTATTTCAATTTATTATGTAATAATTCATTATAAGACTTTTTTTCCTTGTTTATTTTGGATCTTGTGACCTGAAGTGCTTAGAGTCTGACAGTTGAGGATCCAAATGCTGCCATTTTGTTGTGTAAACAGTGTAAAACCAYCACTGGGCATCTTATTTTACATATTTGTCTTTTTGTGTTGAGTRGAATGGTTTGATACTAATGGTGTGGTACAGGTTGTGTATTTGTGTTCAGGCTGTATTGTGTGAACATGAGACGAGGCTGTGGCTTTGTTCTGGTAAACATCTTCTAAAGATTCAGTCATGTATCACAAGATAAAAGCCATTTGCTTGGAGAATTTCAAAAAATAAAAAAGGATATACGTAGGATTAGATATAGGATATAGAATAAAGGATTATTTTTTTTTCTCAGAAGAGAAATACAACAGCTACATTACAAATAAAGGAAGCACTGCCCTTTTTTCCTGAGATTTGCCATGGCTTCATTACTTTCTACAATAAAAATAAACCTAAGTTTTAATCTCACTGGACCTGACCTGTGTGTACTTTCACCTCATTTTTCCTGCTGAGCACAGGAGAGGACAGCAGCACTTTGTTTTACTGCTGGATCTTTGGATCCTGAATTACAAAACAAGGTGTGAAACCCACAACAGGCTTGTCATGCATTTAAAAGATTGTGAATTTTTATTCATCAAGTTTTACACCATGTGTTATTAGTTTTTTTCAGTATTTTCATGTGAAAGGAAAGTGAAACAGATAGAAACATATTGTGGGTAAAATCCATAAAATAAACAGAACTAATGATTTAAACTGACCACAGACACAAAGACACAACAACTCTTTGTGAATTTGAATTAAATAATTGGGACATTTTTGTCATGGAAAGGCTTGTTGAGTAGTTAAGCTAATGCTAGTTTACTGAAAAATGGACTCCATCATGACTCAACAATAACTCACTTAACCGTGCACACGCATGTTTCTTCATCCATCCTGACAAATGTGAAACTGAGCGCACGCAAGATGCCTCCCCTGACACACGTTTAATTAAATAAATAGATTAGTTGCAAATATGTCCAGTGTGTGTGACTCTCCGCTCTGTGGGATCAAGAATGCTGCTTAGAAAAAAATGAAGTGTTTGCCWCACGTGCACAAAAGAGGAGTGATTGTGTGTTTGTGTGAAACGGAACATTCTGGATCATCCAGCATGAGTCAAAAGTAACCACTGGCGTGCTGTCGGACTCTCTCCACTGCAGACACACACACACACACACACACACACACACACACACACACACAC